GCATCATAGCCTGGCCTTGAATTCACAGTCTTCCTGTACATGCCTTCCCCATGTTGAGATTACAGAAATGATCATGACACACAGCTTAAATAATATTCTTGACATCCACAGAGAGCAATATTTGCAAATAGGATAAATAGTAGAGATTTTCATGTAAAACTTAGGACATTAAAAATGGACCTCTATAGACTGTAGACAATTTTTTTTACAAATTGAAGAATTCAAAACTAAGAAACAAAGTGCTTGTGTTTGCATGGACCCCTGCACTCAAGGATGAAACAGTGTTTTCTTGACTCGTTTGCTGTGGCTTTGAATAAGCTTTCTAATCTCTATTTGTGCTTCAGCTCTGTCCTCTCTACCATAAGTCTGTGTGCATAATTGTACACATCAGGCCTTGTGTTGATAAATTACATGGTCTCATTTAAATTATATGACCTTTTAATACTATGCATGCGATTTTGATTTACCTGCTTTTTAAAAAATTTGTACTATTGCTTGCAGATGAAGTGAGTGTTATTAACAATTCACACTGATTAAAAGAAGGTACACCTTGCCAACTAGTTTGCCGCAAGACAGGTGGCCTGAAAAGATTAAATGCCATTCTGTTTTTTATAAATATTAAATGCAGTTCTGATACATATGTGTGTATATAAATGTGTGTACATATGTATATGAAAAATACATGTATGTAAAAGATCAGTTATCATAATTTTATCCAGAGGAATACATCTATTTACTTCATATTGTACATTAACATGCCTTGATCTTGCAAAATGAATAGCTGAGTGATAGTTTGTGTGTGTGTGTGTGTGTGTGTGTGTGTGTGTGTATGTGTATGTTTGTGTGTGACAGTACCAGTTCTGGGGCTTGAACTCAGCACCTGGATGTTGTCCCTGAGCTTTTTGCTCAAGGCTAATACTCTACCACATGAGCCACAGCTTTACTTCCAGAATTTTTGGTAACGTATTGGAGATCGGAGTCTCATGGACTTTCCTGCGTGGGCTGGCTTTATACCACGATCTTCGGATCTCAACTTCCTGAAACTGGCATTTCAGGATTGCTTACTGACACTTAGCTTTGAATCATTGTTTTCTTGCTGTTGTACCATCACTTTTCCTTTATCTAGACTCCTTCATAGTATAGAGGGAAAATCTTTCTGATGATAAAAAAATCTTACTTTTCTTATTATCTTTAAATAGTGGTCCAAAGCGGGTTTCAATTTTAACATGTCAGTTTATTTTTAAAAGCCAGTGGAAATAAGTAACCCATCTCCTGCATTTTACAATGCAGGTTCCTTTGTTCTTACACCACATCTGAATGACAGAAAGTTCTATCTCTTCTGTATCCTTTCCTGTATTTAGGGACTGTTGCTAAATTACTCTTAACTTTCAATTCCCTATGCACAAGTGTTTTGTGTTTTGTTCTCAACTGTTTATTTTTGTGCTAACCATGCCCACCACAAAATGAGCCCCAAGCATGTTCCTTCTTACTCCAGTCAAATAGGGAAAAAGATTATCTTAGAGGTTAAACTTCAAGTTGATAGGAAATAATAAAGGAATCAACTTCCAAAAAACACAGGAGTTTGCTCCAAACCCCTCAGACTCTTTTTAGTAGAACTTGGAAAGAGTTGGCATTAAAAAAAAAGATAATATGATTTATGGGAAAGGAAGGCAATGGTCACTAAAGCATATGACTTTAAAGGATAAGACTGAATTTCAGTATTTTCTGGATCTCGGTAGACCCTTACAGTTAGATATTCAGTGCACCATTACTAAGGTATCTACAGTGAGTACCTCAGGTAGTTAATTTATAAGAAGAATTGTAAGCTGAGAGCCGGTGCTCATGCCTGTAATCCTAGCTACTCAGAAGGCTGAGATCTGAGGATTGCGGTTCAAAGCCAGCCCGGGTAGGAAAGTCCATGGGACTCTTGTCTCCAATAAACCATCAGAAAATCAGAAGTGGTGCTGTGGCTCAAGTGGTTAGAGCACTAACCTTGACCTGAAGAACTGAGGGATAGTGCCCAGGCCCAGAGTTCAAGCCCCATAACTGACCAAAAAAATTGTATATGCTTTTGGCAGTACTGGGAATTGAACTCAAGGCCAAATGCTTGTTAAGCATATGCTCTACTAATTGAGCTGTACCTAGAATCCTTTTTCTTATTAGTTTCCCTTCCAATAGGGTCTGAGTCAAACTGCCTAGGTTGGCCTGAACCATAGAACTCCTCTGCCTCCTATGAAATTGCTGAGACTAGTGGCTTGAGAAACTCATGCTAGAAATTTATTTAATACAGTTTTGGTATACGGTAAATGAAAGATAAGGAGAGAGATAGGTAGGGAATAGAGAAAGAGACAGATAGACAGAGACAGACACATACACACATAGAGAGACAGACAGACAGAGAGACCCAGAGTCAGAGACAGACAGAAATGGAGACACAGAAAAAGAGACAGAAGGGTCCTGAATTTTCCCTCCTGCCAGGAACTCACTTGTAAAAACAGTGTCATCAGTCTATTTGCAAGGCTCCATGCTCATGGCCTGATCATCTCTTCAGGCCCCATTTCTTAACACTGTTGCATTTCTTTTCTTTTCTTTTTTCTTTTTTTGCATTTCTGACTGTTATTATAAAGGTGAGGTACACAGGAGTCGCAGTTACATGTCAGGTAAAGAGTACATTTCTTTGTGAACAGTTTCACCCCTTCCCTCTGTCCATTTTCCCCTCCCATTCCTACCCACAAGACAAGAAGTTTTGTGTGTGTATGTGTTTCTTGCTGTTTTTGCCCCTTTGTCCAGTTTTTTCATTTTTTTGTCTTTGGGTGAGGGGCACAGAAATGGTAGGACAAAAGGTGAACAAATGCAGCAGTGGTACTCACTAGACTCTGGAAAATGAACTAGGCACTGTTGTTTTTCTGACACATGGTTTCTGAAGTGGGGAGGAGGGGGTGGGACACCTTTAAAGCAGACCATAGGGTGTCCTTCCATCCCTTTGAGGACAGTCTAGTTCCTCCGCCAGTCACTGCAATGATCATTACGGATTTGTGTCTAGTCATTTGTCTGCTCTGTGAAGATTGTTCAATATTTAATTCTACCTTCCAGGCAGTTTAATGAGCCTAGTGACCTCATCATAATCTGGGGTGCTGAGGCCTACAGCCATGGCCTTTGTTCCATCATCCATCTTCTATCATTTCTATCTCTCTCCTCTCTCTCTTCTACCCACCAGTCACCACGATGGATTAATCTCCCATTTCTATATTCATATTTTTCTAGAAAGTATATTGTTCTGGGTGCCCGCCAGAAGTTTGATACTCAGACTAGTTTTGTACTGAAACACTTTATATCCCATTGTATTTTCTCAGCTCACTGTCTTCACATCCCCAGGGCGGAATACTAAAAATAAAAGTGTAATATATTCTTCCCATGGTTCTTATGGCTTTTATTCCATCACACTGTATTACATAACTCTGATATCTCTTTCGTGTCCCACAGATATGTCTGTGCTTTTGTTAGAAAAACTAAAGGAAACTAAAGAGACAAGCTACTGACATTCTCCACATTTCATTGTACTTAAAAATGGGAAATAAAGCTGTTAACTAGTAATTAGTGATTGGAGGCAGTCATGTCTGCTCACCTTGGATTCTTACTAATATTTTTCTCTAATGTCAGGTGGATGAGGGCTAGAAAACACCTTAAATTGTAGATGAAGTTCTTCTAAGTTTGGCTTATGTGAAAAAGATGAAATTTAATTCCTTCACACCCATCTAAATGTACTTTCACCAGTTCAAACACTTGAACTTGAGGTCTGTCACCAGTGGCTCATGCTTTTATTCCTAGCTACCCAAAAGTCTGAGATCTGAAGATTCAGGTTTGAGGCACAAAAATACTCAAGATGCTTACCTCCCATAAGTCAGCAAAAAACTGCAGTACGGCTCAAATAGTAGAACATCTGCAATGAGAGATCCTGAGTGAAAGCACCAGAACAATGTACACACACACCCACACACACACACACACACACACAACTTGAAAATAGCTGCATGTACACTGAAGACATTCCATGGCATTGTATCAATCATGTGAAATTCTGTTTGTAGTATATTGTATTATTAAAGAATCAGTGCTTGTAGCTGTGGAAAATATTCCAAATGGGCAACTTGGTGGTAAGGCCCTTTTGGATGCTCATGTCAGTTTCTTATCACCATCCTATGGAGGACACAATTGGTTATATTTGTCCGCTTTTCTCTGAAATATTTCAGCACTCATGACCTGGCCTCTGCATACTATATTAAACATGTATATCATATATATAGCATACATCTTTATATCCTATATATATATAAATTATACACATACTTTTATATATTATATGTTATATATTATACCTCTGCATATATACCTCATGCATATATACTAGCCACTCCAAAAGGTTTCTTTCTATACAGGTTGATGCTGTTTAAGGTAAGAAAACTAGCTCTGTGAAGAATCTCCTGGTTGAAGTAGAAAAGCAGAGATTGCCGTCTAGAGTCTGGGATTCATGCATCAGAAATGAAGTATTTAAGTAGGCTTTTGTCAGATAACAACTGCCATTTCAGTCTGAGCATTTCACCATCTCATTCTGGGCCATCTGTCTCACGGGGAGCAATTAATCTCAAACTCCAAAATGCGACGTTAAAATTCCATTAACACCCAACAGAATATTAATGTGTCTGGCATTGCCCTTTTTTATTTTAAAATCCCTCCAAAATTTCAGGGTTGATTTTGAAGAAAGCAGGTATAACAGGTTAAGCTATTCAGCTAATTAAGACTATTGAGCGAAATATATAGTTAACTACTGAAATTATGTAATAATACACAGAACTTAGTTTCACCACACCACCTGTTTTGGCAACACATACATGGGCCGTGATTCTACATTGAGTGAAGGGTTACTTGTCAAAGCAGTAAATGTTTGACAAAACCCACTTTCCTCCAGACTCTGACTTTGTGATTGCCTTCTCTTTCCACAGAACCACATCACGGCCTTCGCGGAAGTCACATGATATTGAAGCTGATGGTTTTTCCCTTCACTGGACATCATCTCTTTTTACCACCCATTCCTAACACCTAAAGTTTGTTTGCTTATAAAAGAGGTTTATAAAGTTGTCTAATAATTTTTATAATTTTCCAATCAATGTCAACCTCTCTGTATTCCCCGCCCCCCACTAGACTGTGATCTCCTCGAGGGCGAGACTGTGTCTTTCTGTTCTCTGTAATCCCAGCATCGACCACAAAAGCCTGGCACAAAGTAGGTGATCAATAAAAAACAATGAGATGATTGAATGAACCAATCAATCCTTAAATAAAATGCTCACTTTAGTTTCTCAGAGAATCTGTGCCTCTGTGAAAAGCAACCTTTCCACAAGTCGTATTTGTAGAAGAAAACTCTATTTTGGGGCTTTTTAATTTTCATACATCTATTCGGCAGTATACCATATTTAATTTGAAGTGGACTTTGGACATCACGGGGGTTTTTATTTCATTATTAAGCATGACATCATTTCCATTCTAACAGATTCCAGTGTGTGAAATGCCTTTCTTTTCAGAAACTATGTCTTATACTAAAATCATGTTCACACATTATATTATGCTATATTTTACCTAAAATACCACTCAGACTATCCATTCTAAGACTGGTGCTTCTGCTTTTGAAGGGGAAAATGCCAATTTTTACTGTAATAAGTAATGTATCATAATTAAAAAATTATTTATTTGGACTTTTTCTCCTGACACTTGTGATTTAATTGTTGACTTGTATGTTTTGAATACAGACAGTACTAATCAGGGTTAAGTGAATAAATCAACTAGTTTTCCATTGCTTGCCAAGTCTCTAGAGTGGCCACAGGTTCTATTCTGGTAAATTTTTTTGACTTATAAAGACTTTCACTAATTTAAATGGGAAGAACTACACCCTAACTGATACGCAATTGATATGAATGGTAGAAATAGCATTAATGTATTTTACTTTGCATTTGTGTTGTACTTTATATAATGGAATATATTTACATTCCTAATATTTAATACGCATAATTTATAACATCATGTAAATGTTAAAAGTATGATTTTATTTTATAGATGAGAAAAATGAAGCAAAGAGGGGGTAAAACTATTCCCAACAACACAGCAAATAATATAAACATAGTCAAAATTCAATTCAGACTTTCTTGCTCTAATCTCATTTTCCCTTCAAGTATGCTAGAGTTGCTGTATGGTTTTGAACATTGAGGCCTTTAAGACATCATTAAAGTCTTTGTCCACAACTACCTACATTTTTTAAAAAGTAAAGAAATGCAAAATAGTGTTAAAAGAAATCTTCTGTATTTTCAATATTGACACTTTAGGAATTAATATTTTCAAAATACACAACTGTGTAATAATCTATTTGGAACCTTATTTGAAAATAGTGACTGTCTAGAGCTTGACTATGAGGCTCATTGTAAAAGTGACGCTTGAATCAAATGTCTCCTTTCTTCTCCTTCCCTTAGGCCCAGGCCTGACTCAGGAGAAAGCTTGAGGGGTTTACATTAAAGGGAGCACATGGACTTAAGATAAAAATCGCTGTGATGCAAGAAAGATGAGCTCATCAGTCATTGATAATCTTTAACTCGAATAACTTTGATACAAACAGTCATTAATTAACTAAAATGAAACTTTCTAGTATTGAAAGAAAGCAAATTCTTAATTGACCCTATCATTTCAGAAGAAAGCAGAAAGTCATTAAAACCAAAGGTGCATCCACAATTCTCCAAATGTGGGGTCACATGTGCATTTCCAACATTGTAGGAATTAGAGCACCTTCTACCAGGGCCAAATAGAGAAGAAAGAAATCCATATTTTCGCTGATTTCAGATCTCTATACTAACTCAATTCCTTGGGAATTATAGAAACTAAAAGAGATCTGAAGGGCTTGACTCTTTTTAAAGAGTAACTTTGAGGCAGTCATAGAAATGGGATTCAGTGACATCAAAAAGTTCACTTACAGTGTGTCCAAAGGCAGATTACCAGTATGATTTGTAGGGTTTGATCAGTTCTATGGGGGACTACACCACCTTTCAAAGGATCCAGCAGGAATATTTTCCTGATGGATAAATCAATCCATCTACTATCATCTATCAATCCACTGTCCATCTATCCAATCTATGTTTAGCTATCCATGTCTGTCTGTCTGTCTGTCTATCTATCTATCTATCTATCTATGTCTGTCTGTCTGTCTGTCTGTCTGTCTATCTATCTATAGTTATCTGTCTATGTGTACCTGTTATCTATCTATCATGTATGTATGTATCTGTCATCTATCTCTATCGTCTATCTATGTCTCTATCAAAGAGTGTCAAGGTTAGGTTTTTGCACTTTGCTAAACCTGGAATTATGAATTCAGGGGTTAGAAATTCCTCATAAAACCCAGATTAAACCCAGGATCAGAGTAATGTCATTTCTAATATTTAAAAATCCTCACCTCATGGTAGTGCAATGGATAACCCTGTCCTAAAACACAGGACTGTGGTGAGGGGGAGGGAGTTTATGATTCATAAGGTAGAAGGTAAAAGGCAGAAAACAGCCATCAACCATGATACTATTACTGACAGTAATGAAAAATACATTTGAGGAAATATTAGTATGTAAATATGTACATATGTAGACTGGAAAAAAACAGGCAAACACATATCTTTCTGGTAAAGATGTCTCCTTTTTATTCTTACTGAGGCCCAGATCAGTATAAGTTTGGTCAACCTGAAAACTTCAGTATTCTCTGTTTGCATGGCAGAAATTCTGCACATGTTGTATCAGATTCCTAAGATAACTTAAAAGGCTCTTTTATGTTAAAAGAGAGGTGAACCTTCTTTGACAGGCTTTGCCTATTTTACTTGTAACTGGGCCTCTCTTTTCTCAGGATCTATCCTAGCCAAATATCTCAGTTCCATGTACCATGGTTTTCTTTGTGAAATAGCAGTAGGGAAGGAAAGAAGTCTCTGCTGTGTATTGTATTTTTCAAATAAAATTAAAAAAAATTAAATGCAACACATGATTTTCCCCCTCATGGACTGGTCTTTATTGGAAGTAAAGGAGTGAGAATGTTTGTGAATGTGTGCACAAGTCAGGACATTCAAACTGACTGGAGAGCGTTTGGAAATGACTCACAAAGTGTGGAGTTATGTCAATTCCTTAGGCAGCAAAATGGCTGCCTAAGTCTATGGGCCATCTTAAGATTCAAACAGTGTCTTCATTTGTAAATCCTCAATTCCTATTAAACTATATATGGCACTGGGAAGGCATGGGTCCCACTAGATGTTTGGAATCCTGTAAGTGCTAAAGCACTAGAGAATGACCATTAAAGTGACCTTATTCCTGCCCTAGCATGGTATTTTATTACATTTTGATTACATGCCTTCAAAAGTGTCCAGGACATATTGTTCTGTTTATACTCTCTGAACACTGAAGTCACAATTTCCCTGGCTTTTCTTAAGACTTTTGAAAATCACCATTTAAACATCACAAAGAAACTTCTTTTTATAGGTAATATATGTTAATAAAAATATCATTTATGGGAATTTATTCAGGATAGTAAGTGAATGACTCTCCTTTAAAAAGAAAATATTTCAATATGACTCTGCTTTAAGACGAAAGTATTTTAATTCTTTCTTCCTATCATCTCCAATTCATATTATAGCTGGTTCTTAGTCTTGTAGAAAGGAGAACTATGTTCCTTCTTGAAAAAAAATAAGTTTAGATTATTTATTGTTAGATAAATGTAAAGTACCGAGGGTTACAGTTTCATTTTGAGCAATGTCACCTCTTCCTTTGCTCTCTCCCAGTTTTTCCCTCCTATCCCCACTCCCAAATTGTATAGTTCAGAAAAAAAATTAATTCCAGTACAGGAGCTTGAACTTAGTGTTTTGTGCTCTCCTTTAGATGTTTGTTCACCTCTACTTTTGGCTTTTTGGTAGGTTTTTGGGTGATAAGAATCTCAAGATAGGAGTTGGGAAGGTGGCTCAGTGGTAGAGCGCTTGCCTTGCATGCCTGAGGCCCTGGGTTCGATTCCCCAGCACCACATAAGCAAAAAGAAAGAAAAAGCCGGAAGTGGCATTATGGCTCAAGTGGTAGAGCGCTAGCCTTGAGCTGAAGAGCTGAGGGACAACGCCCAGGCCCAGAGTTCAGGCCCCACGACCAGACACCCCTCCCCCCCAAAAAAAGAATCTCAAGATAGCTTTCTGCCCAGGTTGGCTTCAAACCTCAGAATCTTGAGTAGGTAGGATTGCAGGTATAAGCCTCTGGCACCCAGCTCTTAAGTTGCATTTTTAATTGAGCTTTGAAAAGAAAAAGAAAAAAAAGGAAATGATTTTCAAAAAGATGCTCGTTTCAGTAATTTTGTTTTCCCAAGAGGTATTATTCATTTTCAGCAAGGACTTTCAGCCCTTGTTCATTTAGCATATCTGCTGAGTGATTCTGTCTATCAAAGCATTCACAAGTGCTAACTAAACACTGTTGGGAAAAACAGACATGGCCTGTGTCCTTCCAGATTGTACAGTTCAGCAGATCCAGTGATTGAGCTATAAAAAGTCTGTTCAGAGTCAGGACATTTTTATCCTTAGCAATATCTAAGATTAAAATGTGAAAAGCGTTGCCTCCATCAACGCTGCATTCTTCAACTGTTGTTGGATTTGAGTTGCTCTAAATGCTACTATACTCCACAAGTCTATGGTCCAATTCCGTCATGTTTTTTCTGGGGTAAGCCATGAATCCATGACCAGTTGGAGATTCTGGCTGATGATGACTGACCCCGCTCACATGGTCTGAGATAGCTTGTCTTGGGACAAGCAAACTCCATGTGGATTGTGAAGCTTCATCAGGTTCCTGGGGGAGTGAGCTGGGAGAGTGGAAGTATGCAAGGTACCAGCACAAAGAAACTCACCTAACTCATTCTGTTGGCCAAAGCAAGAACAAGGGCATCCCAGATTCAAATAGTGAGGGAGGAGCTACAGCCACACCACCAGGGAGCAAATACAGAGATGAGTGAAGGGTAAGAAGCCATTTTGACATTCCATTTGCCACTGACTTTTTCTTTATTATAAAAGTACTGTACAGAGGGTTACAGTTACATAAGCAAAGTAATGAGTACATTTCCTAGCCAGCATTGTTGCTTCCTCCTTCGTTTTCCCCTACCATCCTTTCCTTTCCACCTCCTCAATTACCCCCTCCCCCACCAAAGTTGTAAAGTTTGTTTTCAACATAGTGTCTTGTACATCTCATTGTTACAGTGGGTCAGCCTGCATCCCTATTTAAGCTTTTTGGTTTTTTTCCCCTCCTCTCCCCAAATTAGAGAAATGTATATAAAAGATGCAGGGCC